ACTCTGGCACAGGATCGGGAACGCTGCAAGCTCTGTCTGACGTGTCTGCCTCCGCGACCTGAAAGGAGAAGCGGCGATGGAAGATGAAGATGAATTAAATCACCTAATAACGTAATCAGGAATACAGTAAACATATATACAGTTATTTATCTATCGTTGTCGTGTATGATTAAAATATTAAGATTGCTAGTTTGAACAGCCATCTGCTTTTTCTCTTTTTTAAATTCTTCACGAATGATCGCTCAATACGAAGCTGCGCTTGTTGTTCAGTTTCAGTTTCCTGTTTCGATAATCTTCTACCACAAACTCAAGGATTAGGACATTCATTTCATCTTCAGCGCTTTTGCTTGAGGTGATCGGCTCCACTTTCCATTCCTACAATCTAACTTTTGCTGCTGCACCTCAAATACGTCGTCCCTGGTTAATATTTGCCAATGTGACTTGAGCAACTTATTTTAGTAGCTTCGTCTCGAAATCAAAACCAGCTTCCTTTATCAACTCTAAAATTTGCTGCTAGATTTTAGAAACTTCTGAAGGGCCATTGTAATCGTGTAGACATTAAAGATTAGGCGACTTTTTCCTGATTCCTCTTGACGTATCGTCCTTTTGATTTTGATGCCCCTTTTGAAGGAATGGCTTGCCTATCCCGTAGGTCTTGGTGATCGACATTAACCGCATGGTTCGTTGTAGATTAACGACAGTGATGGTCTATCGGCTTAGACAAGGAAGTATTACTAGATGGCGTAACAGCGACACGTACATCATGCAGGTTTGATGAAAATTTTGCTTTGAAAGTGCAGCAATTCTTAGCTACGTGTGAGTTAAACACTAACAAGGATGCACGTCTTCCTATCCACAATGCAAGGCCTCCTCTGACCGCCAATTACATGACAAGCTTACACGACCTCTTTTGTCGACAGTCAGAGATGAATCTGTGTGTACTGAAAAGTACTTGAGTACTTCGTTAACGACAATCTGAACAAAAACCATGCACGTGAATTAAACGCTGTTCGAAAAGTCTTACTTATCATCGAGTCAAGAACTCAACCCCACCTCGTTACCTAGTTAGAGAGCAACGTAGTTGCTGTGCAAGTTTCACAGCATGATTCGCAGTTTTTTCTGAAATTCACCTCGAAGTATGCATCGCTGAGAGCGGTCTGTCACAATTTGGGATTTTAACTGAAATGAATACTTTACTTTACTTTACAGTACAAAAGTACTTGTATATGACGCGATGCCTCACTGAGCTTACAGACTATTGGGTTCTGTTCATCCTGCTGTTTAAAGAAAGTTGTCGGCGAGGAGCAATTGCTGCACACGATTCTGTGCGAGACGTGAGAAGCTCATATACACACGCACACACACACAGACACCAATACTCATGTTTAGCCCATACATGAATTGCTCAAAGAAACGTTAGAACATGTATCAACCAGCAGACGGGGAAACAACTAAAACTAATCAATAATCATTTATTATGCCACCTGATTATGACATCTTAAACGATACCTTTCGGAACAAAATGGAAAACAAAGCTCGGAAGAAAAAGCAAACGCCCGACGTCAGACACCTAGCAAAATCTTTTCTCAACTTTCTGATGACGTGCTGGAAACCCAAATTCGCGGCGTGACAGACAAGTCGTAAACTGGGCCATTCCATTTCCCATTCCCACTTTCGTAAACTAATGAATGGTTTTCGCAGTCCGTCGCAACTCAGCTACAAATCTATATTATCTACTGGATCCGTGATTCAATATCACTTCGAAAATTAGCAGACATGATGGCGCTTTAACTGCGCGATGCCTCATCTTGATGAAAAGGAATGCCTAGCAGTCACAGAAATAAAGGGTCAGATCCTAATTATGTTTATTTATAGCGTCGAAGAAATGCCACGTTGTTATACTAAGGATCATGATCATGAGGCAACGCATGATTATGAACCGGACTGATGCACCAGCGATCAGTTCATTGCGTAAATTGCTCACCTCCTTGGGACATGGAATGAGTGAAATCATCGGGAACGCAAACTAAAATTATCTATGGTAGATTTCTTTCCGATTTATTCTTTGGAAACATAAAGACTTCGAAAAAAAATTTCTGAACGTGTTTCAGTCTCGAGAAGAAGCCAATCTATTACATTTGGCACAGAATCAAAAGCGGTTTATTTCTCTGGTAATTTGTATGTTTTCTGAGAAACGTTGGGATGACAGCCTATCGTGACTATTAAGGTACGTTACGCAAACCGCAGAGAAAAGCTGGACTGAACTTGTCCATTCCCTGGCTTGTCCAGTGATGGTCGAAAGCTAGGCAGCGAACGTGAGCAAACGTACCAGCTGGCTTTGTAATGCTTGTTCAGTTTCAAACAATAAGATATATGGCGGCTGTGACAACGAGACGACCAACGTCGCGAACTAAATCTAAGACAGGCTGCCCATGTAACGAACATAGTCAGGTAGACAGATGTTTGTTTGACGCTTTAATGGTTCGACGTGACAAAAGTCAGAAGCTAGCCTATTCACCATCCAGTCGAACCAGATCTGCCGGAAACTGTGCCACAGCCACAAACGATCAGTAGGCCATTAAATCCCGTTCGCAAACCAGAAACATTCTTGTCGATCACGTGTACAGCTGTCGCGTTACGACTGATAGGTTGTCATCAACCAACGAACGAGAGCGAAGCTGAGGCGCTCGACTTATAAGTAAAGCGAAAATGAGCGAGTGGTGTCTCAGAAGAGGAAAAAGCTAATAAAAACGTAACGTTATAACATGCTAATCTGACATAATAATATTCACAGTTTTAGGTGAGGAAGGTCCTCGAAACAAAGCCGATCGCCGACGAAACGACAAAGGAAGTAACCGATTCGGTCAAGAGCATTGAAGATCGATATATTTCGGTCAGTCGGTCGGGTATAAGAGAAAATTTTTAACTTACACGTCGACGCCGTGCTTATGTGCAGAGTAATGAAATGTTATTTATCGGCAGCAAGGTTAGAGACAGACCGACAGATACATTACAAGCTGGCAATCGACGGCTTCAGATGAGTAATCAGGGTGGAAACCCTCCGCGGAGAGGCCTCGGCGTCGTTGTATCGCGCAGTTGGTATGAACGATTCTAACGCGCATACGCGTATTGCCAGCGCCTCGTTGTGCCTACCAATGTTCAGCTGTTGGCCGATGGCAATATGCGAAGCTCGTTCGACCTCAGTTCAACCTCTGACCAAACATCCGTTTGCCCGACAAGGCGGCGCCGAGCGATATGGAAAAGTGGAAGAGATCACGTCTTTCTCCAATAGCAGCCGTGAATGCGCTATTCTGCAACGAACAAAGCGATCAACTTTTCGTAACGCTGATCGGCCGCTGGCCACGCAGTGTAAATACATCTGTGACGTAAACAACGTAGGCGTTCACACGGCGAAGACGTACACAAAACAAGGACGACCTCAAAACGATTATGCCGACCGACGGTCAGGTGCTCGTTTGTTCGGCCATCGACCGTTGTCGAGACAGTGGCATGGCACGGCGCATCGCCGAATGAAAGAGCGAACACACGAAACGAGTCACCTGACTCGGAGGCAGACGAGGCGCAACGGCAACCGTCTGAATGACTGACTCACTGACCAACAGACTGACCGACCGACCGGCGAACTGCATTCAGATGGAATAGAGTAAAACGTTGGCGGAAAACCTGACCTGCTGACGCACGGCGTCGAACAAAAGCCATTCGTCCGGTGGGTAAAATTAACGATACGCGTACAAAGAACAGAGGGAGCAGTTGAACGGAGAGTGACAAACCGTAGTAATGTCGCTGCTACTGCTGCTGCTAGTGACGGGGACGTCGAAGGGGGCGAATACTTCGCAAGCAGACAACGTAGGGGCAAACGTGAGATCTGCCGCCGTGAGAACATGGCAGGTAGCGGGTGGCTGGTTTCAGGCTATTTCAGACCAAATCGCGCAGCTGAAAAAAGCTAACTTTGCATTAATCTCTTGTCCACAGATCCAGTAATGAAGCTCATTCGAAAGACCAGCTCGACGTTCATTAACCGAGTAAACAGCGGCTGTTTTAATTATACTCGAAAAAAATGCACACAACTGAACAAATCTCGTTCAATGCTATAAACAATCTGCGAAACAACACTGTTTGCAGTAGCCTCTATACCAGCACGTTCCGTCTGCTGAAAACTACTTACACTCAACACGGACATAACACAATGCAGCAGCAGAGGTCGATCGTCCGTAGTCACTGTTAGATTGGAAGGTTGGCCTACGGCTAGACACATCATGCATCGCTGCAGCTGCAGCGCAGCCAATAACCGCACTCTCGAGCGCGGACTCACCACGTGATTGCGACTGTCCGCCAGAGGGCCATCCGGCGTTCGCGGTTTGCTATTCGTCGGTTACGACTCGTCGCGCTGTAGAAAAAAAAATCAGCTGATCACAAAACATGCTATGACAAGTGGTACACACGTCATCCACGTATCCCTCTAACGTATCACGCATATCTTATTGATTAGGCCGGCACTAAACCATTCTATATCTGTGCTTAGTATGAGTGTTCACTACCTAGCCCATGTTCATAGGTAGTTGACATTCGTGCTTCGAGCACCGCCGACCTTCTTGAGGTAGGCTTTAATTGATCAACTTCTTGATGCTTCGGCTATCATATATCTAGACAAAGCGGAAGCACAAGGCGCACTTGTTAAAAAAAATTACTGCAAATTCACGGATAGAGGTGAGAAACTGATTGTTTTGGTTTTAGTATGATCCCAGAAAGAGTGTAGTGCCATTCGTTCTCACAACTCACATAAGAATAAGGTTCCAATCTGTATATTGTGAAGACTTTTCTTTTCACTTCCTAATTCCCTATAGTATGTACAGAAATGTTCAGCAGTTTGATAACCTTGGAAGCATCATGGAGTTGTCACGCCATATGTTATTAAACCTAGGATTATGGTGTACCTGATAGCTGACCCCATAGTCTCTCAATGGTCAGCTGTATGTAACGATATTAATGACAGATGAATTCTTCCATCTGGAGGAACGATGTCCATATTAAGTAATCAGCATTTTCGGGGGCTTTCGCTTATCGCGCCTATAATCATATTCCTCCCGTCAGAAAGTTGATTGCATGGTAAAAGTGTAAGATTTCACATCCTTTCGCTAGTGCTTTCAGCCACGATTTGCGCCAGTATATCTTTTTTGGAGAGGTTTAACTATAAGACATAACGAACTCTTCAAACTCTTAAACGGCAATTCCTCGCTAGCCGTCCATTATGGATGATCACGGCATAAAAGTTCGCTTTGTTCACTTACCCTCATCGTTTCCATCTTTCAGTGATTAGGACGCCAGTCGAACAGTCTGGTCCATCAAAATAACTGTTCTCAGCGGTAAACAACAATCGAACAATAGAGCTGCTGTTGAAATAGTTCAATGAGTGTAACCAAAATATCAATTATGAATTCATCAGCGAAGATAATCGATGAATGTTCCGTTTAACCGTGGATGTACTGCACACAGGTGTTAAGTCCCTGAACCTTCTATCTTCATTACTTCTTGTTTCAGTAATTCTTGTTCCTGTTTTACTTCACAGAACAGTTCAATATCAATTTTGATTGCATTCACAGGACATGTTTCGCTTCGAAACCTTAGAAGCCATTCATTCTGCGTCCTTTGCACAAAATGAATTGCCTCCGGACTGGAGCAGTTCAGAACAACGTTGCATTCAGTGAAACGATTTCGTTTTCATTTCGCGGAACAGCTTAACTTATATAAAACACAGTTAGGAAAGCAGCGATTTACCGCGACTTCAGCATAACTCAAACTGATCGGCGTTTCCTATATTGAATGTAATGTAATGTAGTAATACGTCAGATTTAAACATCGTAACCTGTTCTTAGTCCGAGTATGTCAAATAACGAATGACTCCTCCATGACTAGAAATCACGACGTACTGAAATCCAGGCTTGATGAATTATTAGTTATTTCACATGCTCAGACGAACGTAGAATATAAGGAATACCAGGTTCCGAAACATCGTTTGTAATGAAGCAAGATGACTTTAGCGAAATGCACGTGGCATTGCAAGGACTCAAATGCCATTGGAGCCATGGTCTGCTTAAACGGTCCCCCCCCCCCAGGCAACTAGGAGCAAGGGGCACGCAATAGGCGTGAAATCTGGTCCTAAAGGAGTCATTTGTTAAATAACTGCTGTTTAATATGCATTTATTTAACATATCTCATCGTTAATAAGTTGGTACATTCACCAAATAAATATTCTCTTTCTCTTTCTGAAGTTAAGGTCTGGAAGTGGTGCAGTAGCTTGCTGCGGTTGATGAGGTGGCATTGTCCGCCACTCGCCACTGGGATCAATCATCAAAACAATCAGTTGCATGGGTCAGTCAAAGGGAGACAAGATGCGTCTATGAAACCGTCTGCGTGAGAAAAAGATGAAGGTGCCGCCTAGGTAACCACCGGATATTCTTATCAGCAGCACCGCGTCTTGTCAGGAAATGCTGGACGTGCGGTTTGTCAATAAAAATGGACCGTCGATTGTGAGAAAGGAGCCGGAATTGCATACAAGGATCAGTCTGCATTGTGCAGAAAGAAGTATACAATCGAAACGAGATAACGAGTCCAATACGGAGAGAAATTATTTTTGACAGCTGTTGCCTATGCAGACATTCGCATTCAGTCAAAGCTTTTCGCCCAAATCTGTTTACTCTATGGCAATCCCGAAGTAACCGCAACAGTTCATTAGGTTGGGCGCGTCGAATGTACTGCTGAACAGCTACGAGTAAGAAAAAGCTGAAGAATGGAAGAAGGCGTAGAAAGCAGGTTCAGGCGAGTGCGTTAGCCTGAACAATGCCAATAACTCGGGATCCGTCGGAAGCGACCAATCCTGACCGGTAGTAAAATTGCTTGGCCAATGGTCGGTACAGGGAGAAGAAAATAACGAAGATGTATGATAAACATGTGCCATTTTTCTTCGGAAATATCGTGGATTAAAACTTTTGAAAATCGTTGTAATGATAATTTTAAATGTTTACTTTTCTTTGGGTGTTACACAATATATACGTTTCACTCACATATTTCATGTACCTCAATTTCGCATATTTCAACACCGCTTTTTAATTGTAGACGTGACGCGCAGCAATCTCTGGTGATTCGTCTCCGCGTAAGCAGGCGACTGTTAATAAACTACAGTAAAAAATTCAGACTTGATTCTGCGAACTTGTATTCATCCTCGAATTGTATGTATTTTATCGGCGTTTTACGTCTCTAGCCGTCGAGTGAAGTTTCACAAGCTGTGATCAGTTGCGATATTTGCATGTAAAATTTTGCCCGTTGTTACACGCGAACACAGATGAGTAGGTAAGTAATTTGTAAAAATATCATTAAAATTTGAAGACACTGCATGACGTTTAGGAACATCTACGTTCACTTATGGCTGGAGCATGCACTAAGAGAGTGTTTCTGAGGTTGGAGCTCATTTGGCTTAAGCATGCATGCATCCATAGTCGAATATGTTTTGCAAAATGTGTGAATATTTGAAACAAACCGATCTGTGATCATTCGACAGATGGATATCAACATTATCCCCAATGGGAGTGTCTACAAAAGAATACGGGATTCTTAAAATATTTTCAGTTTTTCTGTTAACCACTTGACTCTGCGTTGTATTTTGGACTTGGATTTTGTGATTTACACATTGCACTGATCTTGAACTGTATCGTGGAATTTCAAGGTGCACGCATCAAACACCAAGATGGCTGTGCCTCTCGCACGCACTGTTACGATTATCCTTGAATGCCACTGTATCCCTATTGTTTGCCTAAGAGTGACTTGCTTACAGTTTATACACCGAAGCCCAGTGGGGTTATTCATTGCTGAAGGGAATTAACTTTTATATGTATACATTCATAAGTTTCACTTTATGACCGATTTGTTTGTCTGCTGATGTGAACGTTTTAAAAAAATGCATTCGAGAGTACCGCTCTATTTTACCAGTAATCGATAAAGTATACCTCACCGATTTGAATTACAGTAATGCGATTTTATTCACGAACGGCATGGACATGCAAAACTCCAGCGCAAGCGAGTCTCCAGTCAAAACCCTGTAGACAAAGTTGATTAGACACGCTGAAGCAATGATAAATTTCGGAATGTTTCGCGAATGCACTCAATTTTGCTACTTACGGTTCGCTAATGCGTGACGCCGCTTGCGAGAACCGCCTGTCAGCTACAGACATGCCATGAAAATTCGACAGGAATAGTGCAAAGTCGAGCAGCGAATCAATCCGTTAAAAACTAAAACACTGTGATCAGATGCTCTGTCAAAAGCTCAGTTAATATTTAACGGCAAAAAGATCGAAGTTGACAAAAAAACTTACCTCTACAAGAGACCAGCATGCGACAAGAACATATGGGATAGACTTTACAGTAAAATAGTGCGCTTAGCGCGCATTTCATTCTATCAGGGACGTCCTCGTCAACAGCACCGGGAAAGAAACCCGCTTCCACCTCTTCAATATTACCGTCCTGCCGGCAACGTTGCATGACCACGAGACGTGATCACTCACAAAAGCCGAAAAGCGCCGCCAGTTTTGTAACGGCGAGAGCTAAGAATAGGGGAATAGTCTTAAGAATTTCACCCAGTTACCACATTCCCAACACGGTCATCAGACAACGGACAGGGATGAAGGACATTGTCGTCCAAGGCAGAAATGAGAAGCTGCGCTGGGCCGAGCAAAATATTTCAACTCACCGACAGGATATGGTCGACGATGATCGCCGCTGGTGCCCTCAATAACAAACTAGGTTGCACAGTCGCCCATCAGGACGTTGGGAAGATAATATCAGGAGCCTCGAAGGCAACGCCTAGAAGTTGAACGCCCGAAACCTGGGAGAATGGCGTGAGTGTTGCGTCCGATTACCGGTCGGTCTAGATGATCCAGGTCACAAAGCCATTCTCTGTTAAGAAATTCCTTTGCTTAAATGTTTCAGTATTGTCCCCTATAAGGTTACCGTGATCATGACCAAGAATGTAAAACCTGCACTGCTTTTTCATGTCTTCAGAAGAATCATGAAAAACCAGATCTATGAATAACTATTATTCACCACCAAGACCACCTCTAACTCACTGACATATAAGAGGAGCTCAGAGGCGAAAGTATGCCATTTCTCGACTACTTGCTGAAAACTAGGTAGGATTAACGGGTTTGTTCGCTGTCATTATTAATGCATGAACACTGACCAAAGCGATAGAAGGTTGGTAGGTATTACACTCGATGGCTAAAGCAAATAAATGTAGGCCCTTCGTGGATGAGTGAGAATCGTGTTTTCTTCCGCCCGTTGAATGCTTCACGATATCCCATGAATAACCGTCGAATCGGATGTATGTCACAAATCTCTGACAGCATGCCATGTTATTGGTG